GATTTTTTTATGATTCTATTCTTGAACTGCCTACATCAGTTGCCAACATGAAAGTAAACTACTGAGCAGATGACTCAAAAAATGTATTGCTCCTCTTGAGCAAGTTAAACAGTTGCTAGTATGTGGGTTTTGTTTGTTTGTGGTGCAATACCTGGACATCTATACAGCTTTCTTGCCTGTGCAATATCTCCTTTACTTAGACGAGTACGCTGGCCAATGGCAGGTCGTATACCATTATCATCACGGGAAGGGAGAATGGTATCCAGAAACATGCCCCTAAAAAAAATAAAAATAAAAATAGACCCCAAAACCCCCTATCAGTTTTCTGTCATAAAACTGAGTTTTATGAATGTATAATGATATTTTGTAAATCTAAAATTTACATCTGGCATAAATAAGAGGGTAAAACTTTAAATACAGAAAACATGTCATAGAAACTCCACAGGTTGGCAGATTTTACGCAAAGTTATCAAAAAAGAATCTTCTTTCAGTACAGAATTAACACATCAGCTTTTATATTTCTGTTAGACAACAGGAGGGAAATCTCTTTCTATTGTTAAGACTGGACATGAGGAAAATTTTTCACAGTGAGAGTAACCAGTCACTGGAATAATCTCCCCAGCGAAGTGGTGGATTCCCCAACACTGGCCACTTTTAAAATCTGGCTGGACAGGGTTCTGGGACCTCTAGTTATGCATTGCCTAGAATGATTGGACCAGGTGATCCTTGAGGTCTCTTTCAATCTGCTATTCTATGGTTCTTTGCTTGAAGACTACACAGGAAAAAAAGCACTGCTGTTAAGCTGTCACTACATTTAAAAAAAATAATTATAAAATTATAGAAAAACACATACACACTAGCCCCTATCACAGAATTCTTAATCACAGTTACTATTCCTTATAAAGTTTTTAAGGGAAGCCTTCAAATCTGAATTACACATGTAAAGAGAGCAAAAGTTAGGGACATTTGCCAGTCTTTCTTCTGATCAAGGGCTCTAGTTTCTCATGCTGTGCCAGTGAGGAGGGGCACAAGAAGCTGTGACGGAGCAGAGCCAAAACAGCTGACCTGAACTAGCCAAAGGGATATTCCATTGCACAGAACCACATGCCCGGTATATAAACTGGGGGCAGTTGGCTGGGAGGGGTTAATTGCTGTTTGGGGATGGGATGGGCATCAGTCAGTGTTTGGTGAGCAATTTTATTGTGCATCGCTTGTTTTTCTTGCGGTTTATTCCTCTCTTTGTTTTTCCCACTACTATTTTTATTATTGATGTTACTATTATATCTCACTTTATTTCAATTATTAAACTGTTCTTATCTCAACCTCAAGTTTTACCTTCTTCTGATTCTCCTCCCCATCTCACAGGGAAGGGGGAAGTTGAGCGAGTGGCAGTTTGGTACTTAGTTGCAAATTGGGCTTAAACCACCACACCATTGATTTTTAGTACAACCTGAAACTGATGCTATTCATACTTACAGAAAACAACCAACCAACCAACCCTTCCTTAAATGATTTAGCACTTTAATAAGGGAATAATCTGTTACACTTTTAATACCACATGTACAACATCACTGTGCATGACTAGAATTTTATGATGTTTTGTGAGTTCTACTACTTATCTGGGTGAGTAAAGTCTAACAAACAGCTGGCAATATGCCATAGTGAGCATGACTTATGTGTTCAAGATAAATTCGTGCAAATCAATATGTGACCTCAAGGGTTTGCTGGTTGGTTTTAAACAGTATGAAGTAACAACCTCTTGTACCTTGGGGCAGGGCATGCCTGCTCATGGCAGTATCAGTTTTTGCCGCCTTGGAAAGTGGTGAGATCAGTGCCCACAAATTAATCTTGATGTTGTCATTGCCCTAGGACTCGGGGGGGGGGGGGTTCCAGCTTATTTAATTACTCTATTTTATATAGATTAGAATAATCACTTCCTTAAGGTAATGGCATCTGTACCTGGATTAAGCAATGAGACTAATATCTACCTCATGTGGCTCATTCCCATGCTCTTCAAGGTTGAATTATGTATATGTTGAATACATCCTTTGGTAAGATTTTTACTTTTTTTTTTTTTTTAATATCATTTATATTGAGGAGAACAAGCTCAAAGCATTTGCAAAGGCTGGTGAGATTTCTGGTGGTCTTCAGTTTATTTCAGTCTTAGACTGTCTAGTATTTTTTACCTTCAAATGCATAAATTGGATGAAAAAAGCTAAGGATATATCTTTTAAAACTAGCCATTTTTGTTAGTTTTGGTGTTTTCTTTTTTGCCCCCTTTTTTTTTTCTTTTAGGTTTCTTTTAATTTACATTTCGCTGGTATTTTTAGAAAGTAATTAGGTGAACTGCAATTTGAATGAAGTATAACAGAAGGCCAGGTGAAAGATTCCTCCTTCACTTCTCCAGAGTAGGGCTAGCCTATGTGAACAGCTCATTCTATAGCTCCCATAACCATGCAGAGTTTCAGATGAAGCCCCATGTGAGGTATTATGGAACAGGGAACGGATCAGCCTGCAACAGGCCAGAGCAAAGCCACCAGAACTCTTTATTATATGGGCTGGATGACAGTAATAGTCTGTACAAACAACAGCGAAGAAATTCTCAACCATTGCAATTATTTGTTTTTTCTGAATTCAATTTTTTGTTGAGACAATAAGAAAGTATTAGCAGGAAACGATGTTTCCAGACTATCTTGTCTTAAAATCTTAAGAACTGAAGCAAGATCAAAAGGCTCCTTTGAAACTGAACAGAAACAAAATGTGTTTAAAGATATAATTAGATTATTCTGACTTAAAATAAACAAGCTGTCCTTTGACTGCTGTAAGAATACGACATCACAAGGGATATTTTAAGCAATTTCAGGATACTTAAAAAGCATAGTTCTTAGCATTCACAGACAGGAATAGAATTAAAAGTCAAAAGGTATAACCTGAGACTCCAACCTTGAGAAGGTGTTCCTGGCATAGTGCATTATGCTGTCAAAGTCATATGGTTCCCCAAGGGAGTTCACCTCTCCAGGCTCCATCTTCAAGAAGTTGTATTCTTGACCTATGAATGATTGATAATTGAAAGTTTCTTTAATATCTTATTTTTGTAAAGATAAAACCAAGCAACAAAGATCCTAATTTAATAATTCATTAACCATTCATAAATCTTATCCATTTGGGAGTAACTGTGTGATTTTATTAGCCAGACATGTCTTCTGAAACATACATCAAATTCCCATATTTGGCATTTAGAAAGACTATTGCCATTAACCTAACCTATGTAAAGGCCCAACACATTCTGTTGTGCTTCATGTAGAATCCATAAAATTTGCTGACTTTGTTCTTAATTCCAGAAAGAAATCTTTTTTGACAGCAGAATCTGGAAGAACCCTTTTCACTGTAGACTCATTAGACTGGATATTAAATTAAAGAGACTTTGCTACAGCAAAGGCTACTCTCTGAGCCCCCATAGAATACAAACACTACAAAGTCATATATTCAAGAGTCAGCTGTTGCAATTTAACAAAAGCAGAAGAATTATACTTAGTTCATCATTCCAGACCAGAAAATTTTTGTCCTAATCACTGTAGTGAGAGATGCAAAGAACTGCTTACTCCAATTTATATTCCCATTCATATCTTGCAAAAATCTGCAGTGGCACTAACATCATTAACCAACATAGTTTGCATAACAACAGAATATTGTCGTCATAACTTCCTGATCCCATTTAGTGATCCTCAAACTCAGGCCACGCCACAAGATGTGGTTAAATCCAGAAACTAGAGAGACAACTGAAAGGAGAGAACAGGAGGCTAAGTATGGCACTCCAGCTGATTTTCCCCACCACAGAAAAATGCATTTATGGCATCTACACAAGTCAATGACACATAGAGAACAGAAGGAAGGCCTGAATGCACATGCCCTTTCAGGACATCTGAGACTTGTGGGAACGTGTATCAACTCCGAATCACCTTCCAAGTCCTAGCTGAGGTAGCAAAGATTTATTGCATCTCTTGTCTATTTTCTTTTAAAATATTTTCTATAGGAACAGACAAATACTCCAAGCTATCACTGGGCAATTTCTGATTTCACTCATTCTTGTGCAGAAAATTTTCATAAGTCAAAAACAGTATTTCATAAAGACTGTGCACATTTATGAACATTGAAAATGAACATGCTAGGTTATTTCCCGTCTTGCCCACACAACACAAACATGGGCACAAGAGCTAGACTGATAAAGAGATGAGTCACACTTTAAAGTTCTTACGTTCCTCAGATGTTTTACCTCAGCAGCACCTAAGCCACTGGGTAAAGCTGCAAGCTCTATAAGCAACAAGTAATGTAGAAACCGTGGAAACACTGCCCATCTTTGTTACAGATTCAAAGTCCTCAGCTTACCTTTCAGGTCTAAACCTCTTGGGCAACTAAGCTACTTATCATTCAGTAAAGACTAAGAAAGAAAAGCCCTTTCTCAAGCACAGAAACATTACTTTTAAAGGTGTTCCTTCAAAGTTTTGAGCATGATTACTATTCCTCTCCTTCTAGCCAATACTATTTAATGGCTTGCTACTTGGCCAGATCATTAGAAAAGACGGTATTTTAGTTCCAGTATTTAATTTATAATCAGCTGAGAACAGTCTAGCTAAGAGGAATAGCAGGCAGACATGCTCATTTGCTGTTCGGTTAATTTCTGCTATTCAGCATTCAGATTTAAGAGAGTTGAGCAGATGAACAAAACACCAAAAATAAACAGATTTGGTTGAATCCCCCCCCCCCCAAAAAACAAAAACCAACACCATATTTATCAGAATATCTCACCAGGTTGGATGTTTTCTCTAATGATGGTGACATGGTCATCACGGTCCGGTCGTGTATGTTCGTGCCAAAAACCTATCACGTGACCCAACTCATGGACAACTATACCAAATTTATCACAGTTCTTGCCAATAGATATAGCCTGAGGGCCATTTCCCCTTCGACCCACATAAGAACAGCACCTGTAATTAAAACACAAACACAGATGACAGTTTTCACACGAGTCTACAAACCCTATAGGAAATTTTTAAAACATGAGAAAATAATTAAAAAAATAATTAAAAAAATCATCATGCAGAGGGAAGCAGAAAGAATAAGTAAAGACAAGGTTTCTTCTGTGCCATACTTCACATCTTGACAACACTCAGCAGACTCTTGGCTAACTCAGGTCTGATAAATTTGCTTTATTTTGAACTGAAAAGTCACCCTACTTCATTAGTTCCATCTATAAAGGGTGCAGAAATGACACAAGCAGTCCTTTAAAATACTAAATTTGCATGCAGTTGAAAATACAGACGGAAGATATGCTGAATGAGATGTAGAATACTGTGATGACACTGTGAAAACCCTTTTCATTTCTTTTTGTTTCTCTAACTATGGTTGTTGTACACTATCTTTTGCAACAACAATATATTATGAGGTTGAATGCTCTGAATACATGCAAACCATTTTTTGACCCCACTCCTGTTTTCTTGCAATGGGAACCTCAGTCCCAGAATGTCGTATTTGCACAAGAAAAAAAGAACCCAACACAAACTACCCCAAAAACCCCTGTTTCACAACTGCTCTCATGTTTCATTCCTGTTTCACTGTACTTCCATGATTCCAATATAAACTTATGGAACAGAGATGCCTTTTTCAGCATTCACACTGTCAGCATTTATCCGAGATGTGTGCTTTTTTGGTTAGGAAAAAGAAGTCTGCTGACTATGCAAGCAAAACGAGAGAAAGGAGAGTAAAGCATATCCTGCCAAAATGGAAGACAATTTCAGGTTTCACGGGCTGATTCTTTATCACCCCTAAAGATCTTAAATATTTCACGACTTCATCATATTCCCTAGTAAAAGCCTGATTTCCCATATCTGCTCTGTAAATTCTGCAGTCTGTCAGGTGGAATGGAATTGTACTGAGCAGATTACATCCCCCTTCTTCCCTTTTAAAAACAAACAAACAAGACAAACAAAACAATACAAAACCCCACTTTTTCTGATGCAACATTTACACAGCACAATATATTTGGTCCTTGAGGAGTGCGGAAAATGATGCTAGTGTGGAAAATGATCCCATCCTCCATATGCCTCTGTGGGCAATAAAGGAAGAGCAGCTATGGGAACAATACTGATAGCAGATGAAATTCTGCAGCCATCATTGCCTACTTTTCAGGTTTTGTGGTAGCAAAGAGACTTTTCATTTTGGTGGGCCTGTCCTGGTTGGTCTCCTTCACTGATTTTTGTTAGTCTACTACAACTAGAGTTTTAAAATATGACCATTAGAGAAGTACAGTCATGGAATTTCAGCTCACGATTCCTGTTCTTAGTAAAGCATATATTGGCTTTGCAGTAATGGTTAAAATCAAGGATAGGTAAACCAAAATGTTATAGCTTAAAATTATAAAGGCAACACAAGTTACTTTGTAGAAGAATGTATTACAGCAGCCTAGGAGGGTTGTATCAAGAATTCTGAAGCTTAAAAATACTGTTCAGAAAAATTATTGTTTACATTACAATCATTCCTTGCTCTCTCAACTGCTTCCCAAGTATTCCTACCTTCAAAACAAGTTAAATGATTTCTTTGTGCTTTAGTTAGTTCCAAGGATAGGTATGGATCACCTTTTTAGGTCAAAGCACTGAATTAGGCTCAGTGCTTCAGCTAGAGTTGGGCAATACCATGTTTAATTAATTTCTTAAGGTTTCTTCCCTTGATAGCTCACTTCAAGGCAGGTAAATAAAAATAATGGCAATTTAGACTCCCTGTTATAACTCTGTGCTATTGTCAAGGTTGCAATTTTAAGTACTACTGTTACAAAACACAGTAAAAAAAAAAAGAACACCTGTGTATTGGTCTGTGTATTTTCCTCACTCTACATAAACAGTATGAACACAAAATTACTACTTACAATATTTATGATATAGAAATATTACTATGAATACTGATATAAATAACAGTAAATGGAAAAAATACCTTAAGATGTGCCCTAAAATACAGCATAAGTGATGTAAAGGAGCAACAGATAGCAGAAATAAGATTAAAATAAGAATTTAGAACAGTTACACCATTTTATCTCATGATTCCACAGTGGATTTCACCTTTGCACCTGAGACGCTGACATGGTTTTGCTTGATATAATTTCAGACTGCATGTTTGTAGAATAAATATTATGACTACACATGAATATGTAAACATAATTCAAGCACTACAGATAGTTTCAAGATCAATTTTACCTGGGTTTTTATCTTCCAGTAGTCACTGAACTATTTGAATATGTGTCTCTTGTGCAATAAGGAAACTACCATAGTTCATACACTCTCTTAGTCACTTGTGCTCACCCAAGTGAGAAAATAGTTTGGAATTTTAAGAAGGTTTGGCGTGTTTTGTTGTTTCTTTTAAACCCTCCTGCACAGTGTTATTTACTGTCCCATCCATTTAGAGAGGGAATGCTGGAGTACACACTTAAAGCAAAAGGCAGAATTTTCAGTAACTCTTCATTCGGAAAAGTTCATTTATTTAAAAACCCATTAAAGAGCTTCTCAGTATAGAATTCCCAATTCAGTGTCATAGGCATTATGTACACTGAATAAGTTTATCACAGTTCCTAGGTCCCAGACTTCAAATCTTTTAGAAAACACTGTTATCTTTGAGCACTCTAAAGTAAGGAAGATGTGGCATTTGCCTTGGCTGTCTAAAGGAAACCATGGTAGAAAACATAAGAATCAATCAAATTAAGTAATCCACATTCTGGTCAGCATGTCACTATTTCCATATTAAAGTTCCATTTAGCCTGTCATCTGGTCCCTCCACCCAACATCTGCAAACCTGATGAGAGCACGTGCCATAACTTCTTTGTGGGTCATTAATAGAGATGTTAAATAGGACAGGTCCCAGGATAGGCCTTTGTGATACTACGCTTCCAGTAACAGTGTGAGTCCAAGCTTTTAACCACAACCCTCCAAGCCCAACCACACATCCAATTTTAACTTATCTAGCTTTCCTTTAATCTATAGTCCTGAAAAATACACCTTGGGGATAGGTGCAAAACCTTTATAATCTGAATACAACACATGATAGCAGCGCAAGAAAGATTGATAAGAATAGTTAAGATAACCATGCAATATTACAAAAAAGCAGAACAAACACTTTAGTTTAAAACAGTTTAAAAAGATCTGCTCAGTTTTCCTGTTTCCCACTGCTCGGAAATGCTATAAAGAAATATTGCAATGCAGAACTAAAGAACATTAAGCATTATTTATAGCTTAAAGCAAATCAATATGTTATTAAGACTGTAGGTTGTAGAATACTTAATACAATTTCATTAGTTTAACATGCTTGTGTTATTGATTTTATGTATGTTATATGCTTCAACTCTATCCTAGGTGAAATCCAGACAGCTAGCAAAAACGTATTTGGTGGCTTAAAAATTCCATAGATTGTCAATATAATTTGTGCACAGTGATACTTTGGAAAATACAATACCCTATGCAATGTCTCCAGCTCTGCTTTTACTGACACTATTCACAGCAAGGGAAAAAATAAAACAAACAAAACAACAAAATTTTAACTACAGTCTCTCTCTTCCTGTCCTTTTTACTCCATTTGGACCAAAAGAGGATTTAACCTTTTAAGACTGTGCCCTGTGTCTTGGAAAAGGTCAGGCAATAGCTATGCAATAATAGCAGAACAACAAAATGTCTAGTATAACACATAAAGTTCTTAAGACAATTTGGTTTTATAAGAAAACACGGTAAATGACCAGTTTACCAAATACAAGTAACAATATCAAAAAGTTGTTTACTCAAAACCAGAGGTGCTTATGTTCACCTCTGAATGTTTTTATTGGTTTTTCACAGATAAAATTTTTAGGTGCTTACAAAAATAATTTCACATTTTACTATTATAGTCATGAAAATACCAAGAGAAGGTGAGCATTTCAGTGACATATTTGAAAGATGTTTTCTTTTCAGAAGAAAAAAAAAATGCAATATTTTACATAGCATTTCCCTAGGTTGTCTAATACTGAACACCTAAACCCCAACACATTCAGAATTATTTTAATACGGGCCTGCTCCTAAAAACAAGCAGTCAGATGAGTATGGTAATTCCCTTAACACTGGTTACTTAAAAGATTTCAAGTACTTCCCAGCAATTATACAGAAATTCATTGAGTATTTCTTTCCTTGCTTAAGAAAATCAATGTTAACACTAACAAAATAGCAGCAATGCATACTCGTAGAGTCCTTAGGAATTGCTGAGGTAAGTGTCATGTCAAGCACACCAGACTCATTCAATTAATCTACAATATTCTGATCACTTCCACAGTTGCACCCAGTCAAAATGTAAAGAACACTAAATTAATACATCTATGATATAAATTATTTTGTAGTATCATGGGTTTGACTGCAGGTGTGTTTGGCAAAAGACCAAGACCTATCTGAGCTGTATAAGCACCTGTCTTTCCCTTTAAATTGAGTCAACTGGCAGCTTTTAAAGCTCCTCATCTCTTTAATCTTTATTGCACCAGACAGCAGTTGGAGACAGTAACTATTTATGAATCTCTAATTCCACTTAATCAGTCTAGCTGATCAATGATGGCAAGCAAAGAGAAAAAAAAAAAGACAGAAAATGAAACAACTGGAACAATACACTCATTATTTTAAGTAATATTATTTCGCAGCTACTGTCAAAAATACTCTTAAATTAATATGAAAGAAGAAAGAATTGGGTAGAGTCAATGTAGTACTTTTTTTTAATTGCTGCACTCTTCAGAATGTAATAATATAAAAGAATCCTCATAAATCATAACATCAGCTTTCCATGGCACTGACTGTATGAAGCTGTAGAAACTATAAAACTTCATAAACATACTAGGGCTGCATATCATCACCTACATGTTAGTCAACGCAAGAGAAAGAAGTTCATAAAATTCATTCAAAAAATCTCACTGAAGAAGCTGATTTTTTTTTTCTTGGCAAAAAAAAACACCTCTCAGTCACAAGTATAACTCATTCTGCACAAAGGAGATATTGGCTATGACCTGGCTTGATGAATTTACTTATTTTTCAGGGATCAATGCAATCATGGTTACTAAAAGTCTAAATTCACTGCTCTAAGAAAACCTGTTGTGTTGGCAGAAGCAGCTACTGCTTCTTCACCTGCTCAATGGCGACGACCACC